GTGCAAGCAAGTACATTATCTTTTTTTTACGGAACACGTCGCCATACATGGTCCAACCCCCAAGCTGGAGGGCCACGAGACTGTGTTGGACCTCTACCAAGCCTAACCGCAAGGCAACGGTGTTCGGTTGGAAGTGCAAGTACATTATCTTTTTTTTACGGAACACGTCGCCATACATGGTCCAACCCCCAAGCTGGAGGGCCACGAGACTGTGTTCGTCGGACCTCTACCCATGGACCAACCTGGTATGAGAGACTCTGTGAGCATCGTGCGGACACTCCCCAGTATAGCTCAGTGGGTCGCCGAGGTACACAAACCCTCACACCACGGTAAGGTCCAGTCTCTTCGTGACACCGTATGGTCCTTGGAAGGACAAACTGTACCGTGAGAAGTGAACTGCTCACACTTCGTAGGTTACGCTGATTAGGACAACTGCTCTTCATGACAGAAGACCGTCTGCCTCGCAGAGTTCTTTTCGCCCAGCCCTGTGCTGACTGGAAACGGCCGAGAAGAGGACACTGTGACCTGGCAACAAAGTCTGCAAACTTTGACCAGTAAACTGAGTCGGGTTGACAGCTGCCGCCTCCCAGGATGCGGGCCCCTGGGCTCAGCTCATCTATAGTTGATAAGGGGGCGGGATGGCTCGCTGGACTTGTCCTGTCTAGCCTTGGGTAACTTGGCGGTATCCCAGCCCTCTTGCTTCTTTCGGAGTCGCATGGTAGTTGGGCACCGAAAGGATTTTAAAACCGTGCGACTTTTCCACTCCGTTCTCATGACGGTATGAAAATATCGACTAAAACGAAGCTCAGTGGACTACTTGTTACCAAGCATTGTCTGTTTATAAAATCGCCAATCAAATAAACGTTTTATATCTTTAGCACACACCTCTGAACATTTTGTAAAGCTTCGCTTGGAGTTGACGCAAGGCGACAATCATTATGCATCAAGTCAGTGGTCTCTGTTACTAGGACAGTTGTAAAAGAGAAGCATACATCCCTCACATGAATGTGATGACAGTACTCAATTTGCACAAACTCTAGTAATCCTGCTTGAATGTATTTTGTTCTTCGTGCGCATTTTAAATTTATTATCAGGAGTCGGTTTTTCATATATATATATATATATA